TAATAAAAGGAAAAAAAAAAAAAAAAAAAAAAGAAGAAAAAGAGGCGATAAAAAATCCGAGTCGAGGCGGAATAGTTGATGCTGTAGAAGCGAATTATACGAATTTTTTCCCTCCTCCCTTTCCCCTTTCGTTCTTTTTCCCTCCCCCCACGTTTCGCGAACATTAATTAAGATTACTAAGTCGTGTTGTGCCGCTCGTGTACGTGCATCGGTACACGAAAAGAAAAAAAAAAAAAGAAAAAGGAAGGGAGAAACGGAGAGAAAAAGGAAAGGTTGAAATGAAATATGTATATATATATATAGAGAGAGAGAGAGAGAAAAAGAGGGAGAAAAAGAAAGAAAAAATGCATGACCGAAAAACGCAGTCAGTTCGTAGAACGGATTAAAATGGACGCGACAGGAGGCGTTTTCTGGATATCACTTTTTCAACGGGAACGATAACATTCAGAATGTTGGGGGAGAGGGGGAAGGGGGGAGGCACCTGGTATCTATTGAAATTCCCGTGGCTCCTGTTCCAACGGTTCAAATCCTACGGGTTTTCCATTGGTTATCGCGAAAAGAGAGACGAGAATGTGACAAGCTACTTCTGCTCCCTTCTGCCTTTTCAACGAATTGGCGCATACCGTTCGGTTAACGTTTCGATCTATGGTTAGACCTTTCGATTCAACGCCATCGATATCCCTTTTCGTTGGGAGAAGTATCGAAGGATATCGAAATGGGGGGCGACCATGGGGCGATTAAACGCGATTAACGTGGATTGGAATGACGAATGTGGTACAGGGAACGAAGGGTATTCATCGATGAAAGCATCGAAACGTGGTGTAACGATCGTCAAAACTTTGATGTCGGGATTCGCTGTAGCTTTGTATATTTTGTTCATTCTTTTGTTATCTCGCTTCTTTAATCCGATGGAAAATTTAAAAATTTGATATAAATTTTATCAGCATAAAGAAAGTTGCATAATTTTTGAAAACTGTTCAAGGGTTTGGCTTGGATTAGCATCCCCTTCAAATTTTAAAATTCTAAAATTCTAGAAAGCGATTTAGAATTATAAAAATCTAGAATTCTGAAATTCAAGAATCCTAGAATTCTAAAACTTTTTAGACACGGAATTTATGGAGCTTTGGAACTCTAAGTGACTTAAAATTTTAAAACTCGAGAAACTGTAGGAATAATAGAGTTCCAGAATTTCCAGGCAACTCGATAATAATTCTTAGACCTTAAAAAAATTAAAAAATTCAATTCACCTCTTCGTTGAATCCACGTCTAATATTGCGATGCATCGAATCCCTCTTCGCCTTTTTTCTTTTTTTTTTTTTTTCTTTTTTTTCACACTCTTCATGATTCGAGTGCACAGAGGTGTAACACGGTTGTTTCGCATGCAAAATACATCCGCGTAAAATTCGAACGCGTCCTTGGTCGATGGTCTCTTCAACGCCACTCGTCCCCATAAATCTCGTTGCATTTTCACGTAACATTAACAGAGTTCGTTTCACGCATGACAAAGTCACCATTATCCAAGTGTCCACTCGGGACACTCTTGTCTTTAACTTTGTATCTACATAACGACGCGATGCATCACCATACATTATATCGAACGGGTCGGGGTCGTTTCCATATTTTCGTGCCTCCTCGCCTTCTTGAGCTTCACTCCATATATATATATACATATATATGGAGCTGAGTTTTCCATGCCGCCGGTGACACGGAAGTAACGCACGATCGATTACACGCGAGGCTTATAAATAACTTCGTTTATGCGCGGTCGTACGAAGTTGAGATTAAAAACGGAAGAAACGAAAAAAGAACCACTGTTTATACGAGTCTTCGGTAAATAGATTTATATAATTGGATATATATAATAAGAATTTATCTAATTGTCTTTTGATAGGAGTCAGTTTGATAGGAGATTAATTTATGAGAGGATTTTACGAAATATCGAATCGATGTGTATCGAGTAAAAGTAGAGTCGTTTGTTTATATGATTCTGTCGAGGAAGAAATAGATTATTTGTATATAATAGGAATTCTCTTTGTCAATTATGATTTTTTTTTTTATTCATTTAATTTAAGAATTCACGTTCACACGAGAAAGAAAATACTTTATTATGAAATATTTTTCTTAAAATTCGTAGCAATGTAACGAATACGTATGAAATATATTTTCAATTACATTATATTAAATGGGATTCGTGGACGTGGATTCGTATAAGTGGACTGACGCTCGACGATGTATCGGGTAATAAAAGCTCAAAGGTTAAGGTTTAATCGGTATTAAATTTTTCATTCGTTCGTATAAACGGAAAAATTTCATTTTATTCGGAGAGGGGGGAATATGAAAAAATAACGAACGAAAGTTATCTATTTCGAAAGCTATTAAGCGCATGTTGAAAATTTGATCGGATATAAAGTCAAAAGTGGAACTATCCCTTGACGAGAAGAAAGAAAATGGATTACCAAGATTAACAGAGTAATCCGGCCAGTTTCGATCTGGCTAATTCGACGACACACAGCTGACGGAGAGATAGAGGGTGGGTGGGTTCAGCATCGAGCGAAATTGGATGTGGCTGTTCGCTGATAAAAAAAAGTCCTCCTCCGAGACTATTAAGATATTCGATATATCGATCATTGTTCGAAACTTTTATCGATAATTGAATTCTTTTTTCTTTTTTTTTTAATAATACACGATGTTTTTTTTTCCGTTCGTGTAATCGGCCCATAATTCATCCAAATTCTATTCATCCGGTTAAATGATTAATCGTGAAACGTTCAATCCTCCCCCTCCAAAAGAGAACGTTGATCATTTAACTGTCATTACGTCTCTTTTCGTTTAGCAACTGAGTGAATAACATTTTTTTTTGAAAGGGCAAAAATATTTTTATAACACACGAATATCATCTCCGACAAGAAATGAATTTTCGAATTTTTTCCCATGGATGTAATCCATAATCCGTAATCCAAATCCTGCTTCATTATTATCTGGAAAGGAGACGTAATGACGTTAAACGAACATTTTCTTCTTTGGAAAGATGGAAATTTTTTTATAACACATTTTTTCCCATTTATATAATCGATCCGTAATTTATTCCACAAATTTATATTCACAGTTGCCAAACGAAAAGAGACGTAAAATGACGTTAAATGATGAAGGTTCCGGAGGGAGGGGAGGATCGAACGTTTCACGGTTAGCCGACTATAGGAAAATTAATTTGATCGTTAGGCGAGAATGGGATTAGGATTCGGTGTAGTCGGGCGCGAAAGAGGCAGTCGTTCGCCTTTTCCTTTCATCTCGCCACGCTCCAGATTAGCAAGGCTTAACACGGTTATTGTTTTCGTAATCCTCCGAGTATCTCTTGTTCGATAAACATTTTCCCACGTAAACGATCGCGGGTGAGCGTGAATTCTCCCTCCTCGACTTAATAATAAGTCCCATTTTATTATTTAAATCACATTAACGGGACATGGATGAATTAATGAAACCTCGTCGTCTACGAGGGAGTATCGTTTTTTTTTTNTTTTTTTTTTTTTTTTTTTTTCGATGACAAACGATCAAACGAACGATACGATAAAGATGAATTTGTTTGGCTGGAGAAGCTTTCAAGCAACAGGACTTTGAGTTTCCGCTGTTGCATCTTTTATCTAGATTGCATCGTTTGGTTCGATCGTACCAACGACAAGAAAAATTTCTTTCTTTGAAAAGAATTCGTTTTCCACGATCCCTTATATATATATATATATCGTATGAATCTTCTTCCTTCTTTCTTTATGAAAACAAGCTTTCGAGCTACGAAGGCTTGGAAATCTCATAAATTTATTCATATATCCTTTGGTGGTTCGCCTTTGTAGCTTCGTTTCAATCAGATAAATTGATACTTTTAATCAGCTTAAAAGACTCTCAATGAAATACGGGTAAATTCTGGCCGCTTTTAATAGACGGTTTTCGACGAGAAGTCGTGATATTCGTATATACCCGTGTGTATATACGTTAATGCTCTCGCGATCGATAACGATGCGGGGGATGCAACAATGATGTCAGTAAGTCATTTTAATACATTTCTACTTTCCGTCGAATATAAAGGGAAGGAGGGAGGGAGGGAGGGAGGGAGGAGGGAGTTTTAATTAGTTACCGTTTCGCGTGATTTTATTGCACGGTCGTAATAATCGCGTGCGATGACAGAACAGGATAATAATACACGTTTCGTTCGCAATATGCTAATGAGGTTTTCAAAAAGCCCGGAGTCCCCGTGGCTTCCAACAATGGGCTGCGAAAATGGTAGCTCGGTTTCTAGAATGTCTACGACCGATCGATAGGCCCAGTGTAGTAGAAACCAGTTACAACGAAGAGGCAGAAACAGGTGATCGACCCGTACCACCATTTCGTAGAACGTTTTACGTCGTTTCGTGGAGAATATTTATGAATATTTTTCCACGTGGAGGAAATTAAAAAAAAAAAAAAAAGAAAGAAATGTTTTNAGGAAAAAAAAAAAAAAAACGGAGAATCATTGCAATTTGATTCCAATCAAAGTTTTCGATAGTTTATGGTTATTTACCGAACGAATGATTGTTGATCGATTGGTACCTTTTTTTAGGTTATCAATTTTGATTTATCGCATGCTACGTATTTGTATTCGGTTTCAATTAAAAAGATGAAAAGAAAAAAAAAAGGAAAATATAAATAGAATAAAAATCAGATATTTTTTTTAACGAAATAAACAGCGAAACCAGTCATTGCGGTTTGATCCAACAAAAATTTTCCAAGTGTTCGAATATTAACGAAGTTGGTTTTTGATCGGTAGAACCTTTTATAGATATGGATATAAATTTTGATTTACTGCGTATTTAAAAAGAAAAAAAAAAAAAAATACGCGTATAGATGATCGAAAGAGAACCATCATCATTCTCGTTTTCAATCGAGGCGCGCAACGTTTAGTCTCTTTTAAAAAAATTGTAAACTGCGATGACGTTTTAATAACTAAATTAATTCTTGTTTGGTTTGCACAGGATGTCCTACGAGAGCTGGGGCAGAAAAAGCCGCAGTTGGACGAGCTGGTGCACACGGCGGAAGCGCTTCGCGCGGACACGAATAGACAGCAAGTGCACGGCAAAGGTAAGCTCATTTTTATCCGTTTCAACGCTTTTTAATTCACAGAAATTTTTATTTTCGCGTCTCCATTTAATCCATATCGCTTCAATCCCGTTTCGTTTCGTATTATCATTCTCTTATGTGCTCGTCGATTACTTATCGTCATGAGAGATCACTCTAAATTCGCTCATCGAGTTAGGCGATAAAGATAATTTTTTAAAATATAAAATAACAATATCAAAAACGGGTGGTTCAAAAACCAGGATGGAAGATGGAAATTCAATGATGAAGAGCGAGAATCTATCTTCATCGCGACGGATCGGATATACGTATCGATAACCAACGACTTTAATAAGTTTTTGTCATCGTAATTGATAGCAGCGACTACTGCTTGCCAAGCACTTTTCAGTTCTCCGACGAATTTCAGAAGTTTAATTATCGGCCTTGATTGCTCGGCCAAAGCCTGTAATAAATTGAACCATCTGTTCGATTGGACAGCTACTTATTATACCAAGTATCTTGCTCCAGACCGTTCTTTCGAATCGTTTCTTATTCGTCTGATTGAATGGATCTGCGTGCGCAAGATTCTTCCACGGAGTTCTTATGAAATCGTCGTCAATTTGTCTTTTTTCCTGTACATACAGGATGATTCGAACGAAGGGATGATAGAAAAAAACTCAAATACAATTGTAATTGTATCTAAAAATTTCGCGAACAGATTTTTTTCCAAACGATTCTACTTCTCTCAATAATCTTGGTTATCTTGGTCTTCTCGACAGAGTTCTTCATATTTCTCAGAAATTTTTTTAATTAATTTCTACGTTATTTTTCCTCTAATTTCAATTCAATTTCCATTCAAAAAAGGGTTCAGTTCAAATTCTTTTTCACTCTCGATATATGAAGAGGAAGACGAATAATATTTATCCTCCGTTATCGTCGACACCATTAATATTTTTCGACGATAATTAGAGCCGTTCGATCGAGGAGTCATCCGGGCGTTGGAAATTACCTCAGATAACCGTTTGAAGGGTGGGATTCGATTTATTCGGAAACTTTTTAAATCGCCGCGAATCTGGCGCGGATTGACGCGATGGAGGGTCGAGCGCGGAGATTAACGGCGGTGCCGTTAATTGTTTCAAGAGCCCTGGAAAACTCTCTCTCTCTCTCTCTCTCTCCCGCCAATGTCGCATTGTTCCTTCTATATTAGCGTGCCGGTACTTGTCAGTCCCGTCTGCTACTACTACGCTCGTGCATTATAGCCAGACGATTCTTTCGTCCATTGTTTTCAACAGGGCGCCCACTCTGCGTGAAATAGGGAAGAAAGGGTTCGCGTACCGAGCCCTATCAAACAGTTGGTGGCCATCCCTTGCGGTAATGCGTTCCTCTTTCGAGAATTCTTATTAATACGCGCCTTCCCTTCTCCGTTGCGTTGTGCATCGATGGCGATGGAATTTTAGAATTTCTTCCTCGGGTGATATCGATAAATGCTCTGTTAATTAAGAATATTAGAAAACTTGTAAATTTTTCGCTTTTTCCATGAATTAATTGCGAATTAATCGAACGAAGAAATTCCACATTCCGCTTCTCTTCTATAGCAAAAATTCTTCGTCATTCTCCTTGCCAATTATGGAATTTATAAAAATGAAAAGAACTCGATTCGATATTCACTTCGAAACGGAAGAATCTATCTCCCAATAGAAGTTCAGGGAAGGGAAAAACTTGGATGCACAAGTGGAAGTTAACATCGTGTGTGTCAAAAGTTTATCGCTTGGCGGTAAATGGAAAAATAAAAAGCTACCACCCCTCCTTTTATCGATTTAAAAAGCGGTTTTCCAGAGGGGATGGGAATGTCGATGTCTGGTTTTTCGTCTTGGCTGGCGTGCACGTGCCTCCTGGAGATTGAACCGATGCCGAAGTGGGCCGACACGGCAACCTCGGCTTATAGTTATATCGAAAGGTGGCTGCTATTTCGGCCGCTCTCCACGAGTGGAGATTTTTCATAACGGTTATCAAACCACCCTTGTAAATGTGCACCCTGGTTGAAGCGTTGCTGTTCCCTCACACCCTTTAATTACCAGCACGAAACATCCGGGACATGCTAACGCTCTCGCGTTTCACCTTCGTTACTTCGTTCCATCCTCCTTGCTCTTCTCCTTCCGATGTTGCACGTTTCGTGCCTTCTTCCATTTTGTTTCTCTCGTTGTGAGGAGAACGCACTTCTAACTTTCCCGCATTACGTCGAAACGTTAATTGTGCGTATTTTCTTCCTGATGAAGATGAAACATCGCTCTACGAGGATGAATATCAACGAGCTTGAAAATATTCCGATGGATGCATTTTTATTAATTCATCACAAAAGTATTCGAGGATAAAATAAACGCGATTGTTTGCTCGGAACGAAGCACGGAGAGAAGGAATGGTTCTATACGAAAAGTGGAAAAATAAGTTGACGAATGACTTCGCCAGTTCGTTTACATAAATGTTTCTTCGCGTTAAATTAACTGGAGTAGAAATCTCTTTAAGGTTTATTGAATATGCATTTGGAGTTAAGACAGGATGGTTTCAGCTTGAAATACGACTTCAGTCTCGGTCGTTCGAGCTACTCGATATCGGTTTCGGTTTATTTCTCGAAAAAGGAGGATGCGGATGGATGCATCCGGCTGCCACGTATTCTACCTCGCCGCATTGATTCCTTTTCAACCGGATTTCGTATTCGTCGCCACAGCTCGCGCGACTTCTGGCGAATAACCGTAGGGAAGAAGCAATAGAAGGGAAAAAGTGGAAAACGTCTCGAGATAAGGCATCGTTCCCCTCTTTTGTTCCGTGCGACGGTTACGTTCAGTCAACGTTCAGGAACTTTCTTTGAGGAGAATTCCGCGCATTGTCTTTAAGCATGGCGTAAGCTTGATCGAATACTTGATCCTCTTCGGCATTGTTGCCAAAACTCCCCGCGGAATTAAATTCTTGTCGTTGATTAAACTCCGACTATCGGAGGGTTAAAAGATTTTCGCGACGAATCGCGAAAGGAGAAATATTAAAGAAATTTTTCGAGCCATGTAATTTCGACCTCCATATAAAAAATATGGAGAATATCGAAGATGGAAAGAATTCGAATTGAAATATCGAAGGAACTTTGCACGTCTCCTCGAAAGAAACTTCTTTCCAACGTCGTTTCGGATACGTTTCATATTCCCTCCGGCAAACGTTAAAAATTCGCAAAAGGTGAAGCGAAATTGGATAATATTTGCATCATCGTATTTACCGAAATTCCACGCTACGAGATTCGCCGCTCGCGATATATAAGCGTATCATTTGCATAAACGTATTTCGCGTTATACACGCGCTGCCTCGTTCCAAATACACGCATTACCGAGCATGTATTAATAATAATTGTAGAAACGCGTTAACGGCCGATAATGCAACGTCGAGGTTGTGGACGCATTCTCGAGGTTGGCTCGAAAGCCTCCGCGTCGCATTCCTGCGTTCAGCTTTCGGGATGCACACCCACCTCGGCCACGGTGATAGGATCGTGTGCGAGGCCAACTTGTACCCCCCTCCCCCCAGGAATGAAGGGAACAACCACTTTCAAAGCCGAACAGCGTGCACCACGACAGAATGGTTGTTGCGCGTAACACCCTTTGGGGATAAACCGTGCCAATAACGCACGAATTTCTTACGTCGTAGACGCCATTCCTTTCGAATTTTTGAACCCGAATGAGAATTTTACGTTACAGGTTGCTTAACGTCCACCCGTCGAGCATTCGATTTTTGAATCTGGAGACTCGAAAGTGTCAATATTTTTCTTTTTCTTGGAGCTTTTCCGTAAATAAAGTTGAGATCGGTTCATGCTCAGCCTCGCAACCTGTTGCGAACAGGTTGGCATTCTCTTTATATCGAGATGTTTCATAATGGAGTCGATGAAGCACGGTCCTGCTTCTCTGGAAGGGACCCATAAAGGGGATTAAGCGAGAGAGAGAGAGAGAGAGAAAGGGAGAGATATCGAATCTTGATTCACGGAGGAGGGACACGATTGGCCTGGCTTTTATAACCGCTCTTGTAGGGAAAAATATTTTTATTAACATCGAGGGCTGTTTGATCTCCGAATGATGAATCGTTGTATCGAATCGTTGTTCATGAAAAAACACAGGACGCGCAGGGTATACAGCGGCGTATTGTCCAAGTAAATACGCAGAATCGATGTGATAGCCGGATAAACGCGTCTATTCGCAATCGACACTCCTTTTTCTATCGTTGCTCACGTCCATTATAATCCGATTAACCGATTATTTACACCGTTTCCTCTTTTATTCTCGCGAAATGGAAAAAGGAGGAATAATTCTTCTCTCACTTCTTTCCTCGCATTCGACATAAATAATAAAGTATTTAGTTCACACACAACTATAGTTTGGAAAAACTATGATGTACGATTACATTGAGAAAATGTTTCGTTTCCCTGAAAATATATCGATATCCTCGAATTTACCGATCCGTTCGAATTCGTCGATTTCTTAACAAATTTCGTGTAGAAAGAGAGAGAGAGAGAGAGAGAGAGAGAGAGAGAGAGAGAGAGAGAGAGAGAGAGAAGTTTGGTTTTCGTTCTATCGTTTATCTTGTCCGAAAGAGAAAAATATTCTCGTTTTGCCACGTAGGTTTTCAGGGGAAAATTTCCACGTTTCACCGACCGATTACTCCTCTTGCACCGCTCGCCACTTCGCAATTACCCTGAATCTATGGCAACTTAGGAGCGTTGCATATCTCCCAAATTATACGTACTTAAGGTAACTTATTGCGACTAAGGTATCAGGACGCCTCTCGCCTAATTGCTTAATTATGTCAATTAATGGGGGCGCAGGAAAGTTGCCAGCTCCGTTTCGCTTCCTCTCAGGTGGATGAAGTATGTCCGGAACGCTTCAGCCTCTGATACCCTTTCGCCTTGGGCTTTGAACCGATCCAGGAGAGAAAGAGAGAGAGGGAGAGAGAGAGAGAGAGAGAGAGAGGGAGAGAGAGAGTTCTTTGATTTCGAA